TTGTTTTTGTTGTTTGTTTGTTTGTTTCTTCCCTTCCTCCAAGCTATCCCATTCGGCAAAATCCCCATTCTGGAAGTAGATGGAGTTATCATTCACCAAAGCCTGGCAATAGCAAGATACCTTGCTAAAGAAGCAGGTAATGTGTATTTGACAATTTCCTCACTCTGTTCTGCCCCATACTTTTAATGCTCTCCAACAAACAAAATACTCTGTTTTTGCTAGGGTTGGGTGTAACAGAAACCAACGCTGCTGAGACTATATTCATATCAATACATCTCAGGCACAAATGATAGGCTATCAGCTGCTCAGTGTACCCGTGGTTTGCTTGCCAGTACTGGGGGTTGACTACCAAAATGCCATGTCCTACACTGGATATTGTTAAGGACACTAATTGTATTGAGATGGGCATAAAACTAAAAGCTCAGCTTTGGGGTAGCAAATATTCCTACTAGTGCTGTCTCTAACGTCCCCTTACGCATTTGCTTCTGCTAGGTGTGGCGGGCCAGACGCCTGTGGAGCAGGCACTAGTTGATGCTGTTGTGGACACCATAGATGACTTCATGACTCTGTTCCCCTGGGCAGAGAAAAACCAGGATGTGAGGGTAAGACAACCACTCATTTGAAAAAGGACAAGCAATGAGTGCACACCAGAGTGCCTGTGGCTAGCCCTCCACGAGAGTCCACTCAAGGTCTCTGCTCCGAGGGGCAACGTAGCACATCTCTTGCTCTGGCCGTGCTCCCTAGCATGCCCCATGGCCTGACCACAGTCCTTTTGCAAGTTTCTTAGACCCTTTGGAATTTTTGATGTCGTTCCTGTTTTTTTCTCTCCAACTCAGAGCCCTAAGTGTCCAAATGCAGACTAGCTTGTTCAGCAAAGAGGGTGATACACGAGTTAACTCGAGTATTATATTAGTTGTACTCAGTTCTGACCCAAGAAAATAACCTGGACCTTATATGAAAGATTTAATAACCAGTAACAATAAGTGTAACCCCCTTCCATTTATTTGGATGTGTTTCAGCTAGACAGGAGTATTTTATTATA